ATCAGCCATGTACAGAGAAATGGAGCTCTTCGCACGAAAGAAGTTCATCTCGGTAGGATATGGTGATCGCCTTTCGGCGGACAGCGGAACTCTTGTCGACCACGTCTTAAGGGACCGGGAAAAGTTCGACACTTCTCCTTTCCCCGCGCATCGGCCTGACGAGCAGGATGATGACGAAGAGGAGTTGGACAGGTACGTTGATTAATCACTACTAGTTCGTAACCGTGGTTAATCGTGGCTTCGATTAAACAGACCCGGCCAAGCTCGCTCATCCCTCATGTCCCGGTGATTGATCCTTGTCCTGATTAATCGCGCTCTTTTTATCAGTACTACAGGAATTGTGTTTAAACAGCCGTGTATCAGCATTATGTAGCCTGTAATTTACTTGTACAATTGTGATTAATCGAACCCATTGCTTAATCGGATGTCCTATGGTAAAGGCCTTTGATCAATCAAAATCGGTGAGGTTACGGATTCCGCAGAACCCGAATCTGTGTACACACCGCGCGGTCAGTACTGAGGATGAAGGATTGCGCAAAAACTCACGCAGAACAGCATGCTTTGAGGGGACATTCGCCACCTGAAGGGGATTCGGGTCCGCACTGGAGTAGAGGATTGATGGGAATGGGCGGGGGAGTACCGGTCGAAACCTAGCGTGGAGCGTGAATGAGCTTTGTTATGGGACACGAACGGGTAACGCATCGTGCGCTTACACAGAGGGTGAAGTCTGACATTCATGATTAGTATTCAGATGAATAAACGGGCATCGGGAGGGCACTCACTAAGTTGAAGCGCCGCGCAGCCTTTCCACTTGAATCAATTCATTAGCTGTAAATCTTGTACGAAATGGATTGAAGTAAAGTACTTTGTAAGTCTGCAAAAGTAAACGTCAGAAGACATCGAAGGTAGTAGACAAAGGTATACATTGGCATTGAATTGTTCAATTTGAGCTGCCGTAATCCCGAAGTTAGTACCGATGAGAGCACAGTAGTCGCCCTCCTTGGTCTATGAAGTAAAATATGGGATCAGTCATCGGATAGACATTCATCTGGGATATTAATACCGTGTATGTAGCGCATGAGCCGTCGGGATTGGGTTGAGGCGCGGTGCTTGGGAGATCTCCAACGGTAACACAAACTGAAGTCACCGGGGACTGAGCTACACCAACATAGACGGATCTATATGACCTACGTTTCTGACCAGGCTGGATGAGGGCACAGTTAAGGCCTGGGTTGTATTGTATCAATTGGTCGGTGTTTATTCCTGCGGCGACTGCGATGTCGTAGCTATGAAAATCGAATGATGGAGGCACGTAATGAGCCCGGGATACTGGAGTACATATATGGGAAGAGCACTGACCAAGTAGAATAAGGAGAGCCAACGGTAGCTGTCGTACAGTCGGCCGCGAAAGTTCCGCTGGAAAAAACGAGGACAACGATGGCCGTCCTCAGACTAAACATGGCGGGTCGATTTGACGAAAGGTGCGCGCTGGTACAAGGAAGTAAACCCTTCCTTGGTTTAACCTGGCTATACACCTGTTATATACATTTTCCATGAGCAGAAACTAAACGCGACTGGGCCTGATCGTAAGGTCTGATGGCAGGACCATGTCGCCAAACAACCAATAGGTCATCGAGGACCTGAGTAGAATGATCCATTTGGCACTTGCAATGATCAGTTAACCGTCTTTTGTTTCCGCTCCACGAGGGTCATGATCAATCCATATGGCGTCCTTTGAGCCGTGGGAGGTTTTTGTTCCAGTTTTATAGACGTCCTTGGGCCTTGGCCCATGACGGGAGCTATGTGTGCGGACCGAAAAGGCGACGGCGAATACTGCATTCAGTGGGAGTAGCATCGTAATCGTCCGAGTAATCGAGAATGGTCTAGGGACTGTAGAAGAAGGTGAAAATTTGCTCAAAACATGAAATAAGTATGGATGCTAGTAGATTCCTTACCTATAGAAGAACTGGCCTGAGGCAAGATAACTGCGCGCTTATAAATCTGCCTGGCTCAGCGGGATATCGAGCGACGACCAGTCACGAGGTTAGACTGGCGCTTGCTGGCCTGCTCAGTTCAGAGTTCACGGACACAGAGCAGCTGATGCCATACGCGCATTGCGGCGTATCCTGACCGACCACCGTGAAACGCGAGGTCTCGACTGAATCAAAAGTAGAAAAGCAGTCGTATGGCCTGCAGGTGCTTATTGCGGGTACAGAGGTCGTCAGCCGTCATATGACGCGCGCCTAAAATTCGTGACAGACTGACCTCAAAACAGTTAACGAAACAATAGTTTTGGGAGCGAGGCGAGTTCCTGGTGCTCTATGATTGTCAGAGTAGTAAAAACGAGATACATTTCGAAGGAGCATATAGGTGAGGAGTTCAACGACGCTTGCCAAACGGTTGATCGAGAGAGAGTTGGGATCAAGGTTGCGAAGGGTTGCGATCGAGTTGATCAAAGAAAGTGGCTTGGCGTTTTCTCATGGCTTGGCAGACTAAAAATACACCGGTATGTATGCGGAAGCTGAAGTTGAGGTATAGGCTGGTACAGGCGTAGTTAAAATTAAATTAAAACAATGCATTCCAGATGGACGAGCATGTGCGGCATGGTGTATAAGAAGTTTACGACAGGGCTGCCAGGCACCGTTTCGCAAGCTGGAACCCCTGGGAAACCGCAAAGGGCTCCTCGGGAATCGGGATAATTATTCCGAATGCTAGACGGAACCAAATTTGTGACGAGTAAGTCTGAACACCTTAACTTTTGCAGATGCCAGCTTCTGGACCTTCCTACACGGCTCCAAGGGTCCTATTATTTACGCTGGTATGGATGTCACCCTCCTTCGTCTCTGGGGATAAATGCGGGATTAGTCGTTCAGAAAAGATGCGCCGAAACGAGAAATACCCTCGATTGGGCCCATGAGCTCGGTCTTGGGCCCTGGTACGGGTCGTTGGTTTAATTACTACTAAGTACTTCCTGACTCACGTTTCTGGCTGAAGTGATGCCGCAATTGAGGCCGGGGTACTACATCGCTAGTTGATGAATATCGGGTCCTGCTGCGACCGCGCTGTCAGCACGCACCCCCCCCAGGCCCTGATCCAGAACCTTGTCGCATAGATCCAAAATGAGCTCCCAGTTCTCGCTCGTCAGGTCCTCGTCCGTCGTCTTCGCTGTCAGAAGATAAGTGGTTCAATCGGGTGAAAATTTAACAAGACAAGGTTGGGTGCTCGTACTCATCGACGATCTCCTCGCAAGTGTTGGTGGTCCCACCTGCGAACATGCTTGGGGCGTGGTCGTGGGGTATTTGGATAGGCTGCGGAGACAGAGAGAGTTGGAGACGGCGGGGAGAATCAGGTCAGTGGCTCTCCGCTGAGGTTTTTCGTTTGTAGGCGTTCTTGGGTCATGACCGCAGCTATCGAACCCCCATTCCGATGTGCCGACCCGAGAAAGGCCCAGTGATGAAAAATACTGCATTTGGAGGGAGTACGATTCGTAGAGAACGAGACTAGAGAAAAATGTGAACAGTTTTTCCAATGTGAACAGTTTTTCCAAAGAATAAAATCAAGTGGAGATTCAAGTACATCCCTTACCTATACAGTAACTTGCCTAAGGAAACGCAAATGCGCGTTTGGAGGGACGCCAGAAGCACAGTGGAATTAAACCCCATAAATCCGCCGGGCTAAGCGCGATATCGAGCGACGATCAGTCATGAGATTAAACTAGCGGTTGTTGGCCTGCTCAAGGCAGAATTCACGGACATACAGAGCCTCCTTCCATCCGTGCGTTGCGGGGAATCCTGCACAACCGTGAAACGCGAGATCTCGAGTGGAACAAAGGTAGAGAAACGCTCATATGGGTTGCAGGAGCTAATTGCGCGTAGAGAGGTCCTAAGCCATCTAAGTAACAGATCGACTATCATCCGTTGGAACGTCAGCCACCGGAGACTACATCATAGCGGCGACCCGAAAATCATGACAGACTGACCTCGAAACAGTCAATGAAACGACAGGTCTGAGAGCGAGTCGAGTTCTCGGTGCTCTATGGATGATAGATGAGTAGAAGCGAGATACATTCAGAAGGAGAATATGGCCGAGTCGTTCTGCGACGCTTGCCAAAAGGTCGATCGGGAGAAAGTCGGGATCGAGAAGTTGATCAAAAAAATGAAATGGCTTGGCGTTTTCTCGAAGATGATGCGGCTCGGCAGACTAAAGATACAGGAGTCTTCGTAAGGTGAAGTTGAGATCAAGGCCAAAGTTAAGAAGGTATCAAAACAATTCAGTCCAGGAAGGACTTTGTACAAGAATGTGACATGTGCGGAAAGAGTTTACGACAGGGCCGCCAGGCGCGAGGAGGCACCCAAAGGCTACGTAAAAAGACAAAGCTGGCACGTGTCGACAAACGCCATCCCTCTCCTCCAGCAAAAAAGCCATAGATATACTTACCGAAGACCAATCTACAGGCAAATAGCTTTCCCCTAATGCATGTACGTTCCAGTATCATCATTAGCCAGCTCACTGTGATGCATGTGAATGGCTGTTTGTGATTCGATGGATGCGGACGATGGACGCCAACGACACAAAAACCTTTCACAACCAGCCGATAGTCGGGGAAAGGATCGGAGAGGAAGAACCGCTGATTATCAAAAAGTCCTGTCATGATACATTCGTTATCGCTTGACAAAGAGCATCACGAAAAAAGACTGAATGACCTCGAGATTCTTGTTTTGGGTTGATCGCCGAAATTTGGGAGGAGTCTAAGCCGCCAGAAAGCCGAAACGACGCGGATGGCATCCTGAAATGCACGGCGATGAAACGATCACAGATTTGAGAAGCTTCTTTCACTCATCTTCGAAAACCTACTGGATCTCGAGATGGGATACACCATGATGCCGATTCACAAACGATGTTGACGCCAAAAGAATCAAGATCCTCCGTTCGGCGAAAAATCCAATGCGGGAAAACCTAGGAAACATCACTTTGATGAAAAACTTCCAACGCACCACTAGTGCCGCGTACCCGGATTGAACGAGTGACCTTCTCATCGCATCCTCCAATACGACTTCATACGAGTGAGACGCGCTACCACTACGCCAACACGGCACACTACTCTTCCGGCTGCTGGTTTGTGGTGGGAAAGGGAAAAGGGGGTCCCAGCGCCCAATCTACTTCAAAAGCCGTCGGATACTCCAAGATCAGTCAACGGTTCGCATGAAAATGGATAGTGGGCATCACCTACTTCGTTTTCTTGTTGGATGAGTTGGTGACGCGTCATCTCAAGCGGCTCTTGTAACCAGCCAAGTATCCGCGGGTGGGAGGGGCTTGATAAACATAAAGTCGAGGATTTCGGTTGTAGGATGACGCGAAAGACTACAGAGTGCATGAAGCGGCTGTCGCGGGTGCGCCCAGGATTCGGTAAAACTTCGCAGTAATTCGACAGCCATACACCGTACGGTCACGTCACGAAGCGTAGAAAATCAACCCAGGCCTCAGATAACGTATGACGTGCGTAGGTGCGAGAAAATGCGAAATCCTGGTCAAAGATGTCGATGGACAGTCCCCTGCAGTCCAGTCTGGGGGGGGTGACAAGACACCCATACAAGCTAGATGAGGGCCCACGTTGGCTAGCGAAAAAGGAGTATGGGCGGTTTTTCTACAGGAGCCCGTGGTGAGAAAGGTCAGAACGCAACAGAAATTGGAAGCGAGGGGCTACATTCCGCCGCGATAACGATTTTTCTCTGGAAGAGGTGGTGGTGGGCCGTGGCAGCGGCGCAACTTTGATTCCTGTGGCTGTGTTCTGTGTGACTTGCAACTCCGCCGTCCCGTTCAGGCACAACACGGTTATCCCCTCTCCTCATCCTCGATGGCAAAGGGTGAGTGGCCACAATCCCCTTCAACCCCCGCTAACCCCGATCCCCAGTTCCCAGAAACTTCCGGCTGCTAGAAGAGCTCGAGAAGGGCGAGAAAGGCATCGGCGATGGCTCGTGCTCGTACGGTCTGGAAGACGGCGACGATATCATGATGAGCAACTGGAATGGCACCATCATCGGGCCCGGCCACGTACGTCTCCTCCCTCTCTCCCCACCATCCTACCTCTCACCCCCGATCCCCCCGATCAGACCGTACACGAGAACCGCATCTACAGCCTCAAGATCACCTGTGGCGAGTCGTACCCGGACGCCCACCCCGACGTCCAGTTCCTCTCGCGCGTGAACCTCCCGTTCGTGAATCAGGTCAATGGGAAGGTGGATGCGGCGAGGTTGCCTATACTCTCGGGCTGGTCGAGGAACAGCAGCATCGAGCATGTTCTCGTCGAGATCAGAAAGTGCGTGTCCCGTTCGTGTGTCTTGGCGCCGACGAAGCTCACAGTCTTTTCACGGTCAATAGGGAAATGGCGTCGTTCAATAATCGGAAGCTGCCGCAGCCGCCAGAGGGCTCGACGTTCTGAGGTATCAAGCTTTGTAGGGGCGGTGGCGGGTAACACCTTATATCGACTCCGGGTATTTCTCTAGCATCTCCATCACTTGTATTTCAACAGACTTCATATCCTGCATATATATCTGAAGCTCCTCCAACGACGTTCATGTTCCTTTGATGAGCGCTCCGCAAGTAATCAGGATTCGAACGAGACCGGGCCTGTTGATGTACCTAGACGCGCGCGCATACTCTGTGAAGACCGAGCCAGCGTCATCGCTGACGTGATGAAGCTCATTGCTTGAGTACTTGAGTACTCTCCGATAATAATATGCATATCTGTGGCAGGGGTCGCGCTCGAAGCCACCCTCTCCCCAGCCAGCCCAGCCAAATCGCCAATCCCCGTTGTTTTCCCTTATTTCCTTACTGAGTCTTTGATTATCATGATTCATTACCATGGATTAACAGAGAGATACACCCGCTTGTAAAAGAAAGGAAAAAAGAGGCTTCTTTTATAGTAGCAGCAACTTGTTTCGATCAAGTGACCTCGGGGTAGACAACATCAATTTTCCTCGATTGGTGTATATGGGCCCCGCGCGCTTCCAACTGCGCCATGCTGCTGGTAGATGATATCGGTTACAAGTGGTACAAGAGTGGGAAGGGTAGTATGCAAAAAAAATTATAGAGAAATCATCAGACCTGTCAGGTTCCGACTTGCAGTCGTGGATGTGATCCATTCAGGACATGAGTATCGAAATATGGATGTCCTTTCTATGCTGATCGTTACGGTCGTCAATAATCATAGGCCTCGCGATCTATTTCTGGCTGCATTGCGGACGCGCTGAAAGATACATCGTATACAACGCGCTTAGAAAAATCTAGGCGCGCCTTGTAGAAGTATCATGTAGGACTGTGTGCTTAACGGCAGCATGGAAGCATAGAAAGGAATGGATGACAACTGATTATACCTCAATCGGGGTCCTAGTATTCTGTCATCATTTGCATACTTGTGTACGTCAGTATCAAGGCAAAGGAAGACCATGAGTCACGGCGCTAAGCATCTACTTATCACGCCTCAATAGAAGTCTAACTGTCAGAACCTTATCAACGCTACCACGTAGGAATGAAGTTTCTGACATACACATACTTACCTATCGACGCACGGGCGTGTTTCTACGCCGATAATACAGCATATGGTGCTTTTACGAACGCATCTATACGGGGGGTCAGTCTCGGGCAGATCTACGCACGTCATAACGACGCTGACGCCACAGCAACGCATGGATAACTGGTCGGTCAAGACGTCGCCCCGCTAATCTTCAGCATCGGGAAGAGCTACAAGGGCAGGTTGATCACGGTCCTACGCAAAAACGATTTGCACGGGGTCAGCGATCGAGATCAGGTGGGAGGTGTAGACGGGAGACGGAAGAATTCACTCAAAGGTTTGGGTGCTCGCGCAGGGAAATGACGCATAGACATCTTGTTTGACTAAGGTCGCGTTGTTCGGGGCATGGGGACTGGGTGCTATGAGAGAGTAGGAACAGTGGGAATGATTTGCAATGGTGAACACCCGCTGGAGCCTGCTACAGAGCATCGTGCTGACGTTCCTGGGCTATGAAGCAGAGACGAAAGGTGTAACCATTCTCATCCGCCCCGAACCTGCAGACGCCCGTTGCGAACGCATGATTGTCTGGGTAGACAGTTGACGTCGTGGATTTGGCGTGTGATTTGGACTGGAAGCTATCATCCATACCATAGCCGATGCAGTTGACCAGGTTAGCCGTTACTTTGATACTTGCAGGCAGGCGAAGATGGCGGCTTGATTCCTCGTTCCCAAGGTATTCTGAATACCTCATCAACTGGGGGATTATGGCAAAGGTAACTGTTACATTTTATATCGCAATGCGGTTTGACTAACCAACCCTGTCCATTGTCGTGAGATGTTGCTTCGTTCCCCCTATTCGCGCTCTAGCTTGGCAGGCGCTAGTGCGTGGCAGGCTAAATAGAATCTTAGCGGGTCCCAGGATAGAACCAACCAGGATCCCGAGTAAGACGCGCCGGTGAACATAAGATGTGAATTAGCTGCTTAGGCCACTCTCACTATATGGCATAAACATTCATGAAACAGATCATCATGCATCGGTAGTAGGTCCGACGTACATGGTGCTCTGGTCTTAGGGCGGCCGCAGAGACCAACTGACTGCTTAATTCATGACCTGAAACATTATACAGACGTATAGGGTCGACAGCGGAAGATCGGACCTCGATCCGCGCAAGCTGAGTATATATGTGAGACAAACTGAATAGGAGAACACGATCGACCCACCCACGACGTTCAGTTGACACAGTCACCCTCCCCACGCCAGATCACCATGTATAAATCCACGTTCCTTGCAGTTTTAGTCCTTCTTGGATCACAGGCGTTTGCGAATCCATGGCCACCTCATCCCGGCCGCCAGGGCGTTGGTGTCCTTAACGCGCCTTGTATGTCTTTTCAGGTCCGCCGTCGTTCGATTGCGCTAATCCCTGCGGTAACCTTTTCAAGGTAGAAATGACTCTGTGAGGCAATTTACCAGAATCTGAGAGATACAGTCATGACTGACCTTGGGCATCACGCTTCGCAGGAGTGTAAATACCATCTCGTCTCCCGTCGAGGACTTCGTGCTCATAGGCTAACTCTCCCACAGGTATGAGGAGTCTGCATTGTTGCGGTTTCGCATCTACGCACAAGACGTCAGTCTATGTACTTGTTGCTCTTTGAGGTTCCCTGAAGCTGACATCGCTCACCTGTAGGTGCCAAACACTTCAAACTGCTTGTTAGTAACGAGGGCGCGAATGAAGGCCAAATTACTTAGACCTAAGGTGCGCCGGAATTACTCCCAGACGGACGTTTGCTGAGGATGACGACACGCAAGCAGCAGTGCGGTGCGAGGAAGTGAGCATAGTATTAGAAGCAGAGGTAGATGACATCGGAGTAGTGCAACGGAATGAGCGGACATTTTTATCTGTAGGGAACAGCGAAAAAATCGACTCGTGTGACAGAATGAGTAGGTAACTGATGCTTTGAAGCTTTAAGATGAAAGCGTCGGCGTCGATACTTGCCAGCACTCGTTGAGTCGGACTTCGAATCAAGTTTTGTTCTTGACCATCTTCTGCTCTCGACCGCTGCTGAGCCTAGTGGTGCTTTCGCGTCTAACATCAGCATATACCATCGACTACGCACACTATAACGGGTAACGAACAGGTGCTAGAGTGTCCAAAAGTATATCAAATTCCTTATCGCTATCTGATTTTCGGAGTCTCAGATGACTCTCAGATGGATGTTCTGCGTTACAGCGGGATAGGTGCCATACGGGACTCCTCCACGGTGGCCGAAGCCTCCTGTGAACACAAGGCACGTTTACCAAACGAAGGTAAAGGTAAGTTGGACGCTTATCAGTCGGATCAACACTCCTCAGGTCGTCGTTTCATGGTGAGGTGAAAGCGATCACGTATTCTGGGTGGGTTGGTTTCTCCCTTCTTTATATGTGGACTCGTCTCACTCCTTGCTTATCATAGGTCTCGCCTCTGTCAATATCATCTGGACGTGCTTTGAGCGATGACGCTCGTAATTACAGTGTCCAGCATGCAGTCACTTGCGATTTTACTTATGTTGAAGTTTTGATTGGCCGAAGTCCCCAAATCCCTTCCGACATCGAGTCAGGTTTAAGTCTTGACGCTGGTAGATAACGCTGGCCAAATTTTCCCTCGGTGACTGTGTAACCCTGCAAGCTGCTGTCCACGAATGCGAGATAAAGAGAAAGCGCAAGAGAAAAGGGGCATCATAGGTATATTTGTCCCCCTCTCTCGAAGAAACCAGTACATATTGATGTGGCCTGGACCTGACTTGAAGCCACTTCGAGTGCAAGTCAACGGTTGACTTGAAGCGGTCAAAGTCAGTGAGCGTGACGGAGTCGCGTCGGGATTTGGAAAGGCTTCCGCGTCATTGTTTGGCAACAATCCTGCGATAAAATACTTTACAAATATATGTAAATATTCTCTGATTGCCTCCACATCAACCACGAAATTTTTCGATGGGTCGCCTACGCCGTTCTCGAGCCCATCACGCCAGGAGAGATGTCCACAGAGCATCTCGTACACGAGTGAGCCCGACTGTAGTCTCAATCTAATAGCCTTATCTCACTTAGTTCCATAGGTCAGATCGAGAGATTTAGACCTGATTCAGCTCATCGACCTGGACCCAAAAGTTCGTCCACCCAACTCAATCAAGGAATGCAGTATATTTATTTGATTCGTCTCAGAACAGAGCAGCCTTAGAAGCACAAGCACTTGACTTCGAGAAGCCTGGTCTCGCCCAACATTATTGTGTGGAATGTGCCAAGTGCGTTCACTGGCCCATGGCTTGATTCGCGCATCTGACAGTCATACACATTCACAGATACTACGAGACTGACGCCGCGCTCCAATCTCATTGGCGGAGTAAGGTCCATAAGCGACGGTGTAAAGAGCTGAAGCAACCGGCGTACACGATAGAGGAAGCGGAACGCGCCGCTGGTCTGGGCAGGGAAGGGAAGAGACCGACCACAGTGCGGCAGCCACTAGCTGTGCCCGAGGTGGCGATGACTTGACTGCCTGCTGGTGCAGGTTACCAGTATCCTTCGATGGTGATGTACATATGATACCCTAGTTCACGACCTAATTTTCTCGCCACGACCGACCTTAGATTCTTAAATCATTTTCGTTCTTCAGGACTGCACCATGTACTGCCATCCCATGTTGTCCCCCGTCCAGTCAGCGCGCGTCTGGCAGTGCTGTGTTCGTGGAGTATCTACGACGCTGTGCACACGATGAATCTGTATCAGGTGCCTAAGTAATGGGCCTCTAGAGGAGCCCTGCGTGTGAAAATGGGTGACAAACTCGAAAAACATCAACGATCCATAGATTCGAGGTCACTGCCAGCCACAGAAGCAAACATTTCCACTCTGCTAGTAGTCCAACACACGCTAAACGGCCAGCTAAACCACGCGACCTACTTCTCGAACGCGAAGGACAGCTTAAGTTTCCTATCACACATCAAGGTGCTGGGCAATGCTGATGACCTGATCATGTCGATGCAGTGGTTCGAAAATAACACGACAAATAATAGTTTCCTTTTCGGAGCGAACGATGGTACACGACTCTTACGCCTCCATGATTTGCATGATAAAACCCAGGCTTTCTGTGATACTCCCCAGGCGAGTTGTACCACATCATACATCCCGCATCCTTGTAAAGCTAGTCCTCCCTCTCAAGCTTCCAATCTTGAACCTTTATCCACGCCTATTACGAACATGGCGGCCATCGAGCACCGCGACCATGTGGACCTTTCTCTCCGTTTCGACCAACGCTGGCTGACTTAGTCTTGTCAGATCCCGAAAATCATCAGGGCAATGCAAGCACATAGGTTAGGGTTACTTTAGCCATGTTCCCGACCACATTCTGCCCAGCATCAAACCTCATCAAGCCTCGAGATCTTCAATGTCGATCTATCGCCGCTGCTTAGATCTCCAGCCCGGAGAACATTCGTTGATTCAATGATTGATTGAACACCAAGTTAGGTTCGGAATTGTATCATGATCGGC